ATATATATATATATATATATATTATTTTTAAATACTGGTCAATCACTAAAACCGAAACCAACCACCTGTTGGTTCCAATCTAACCGAGCGGTTAACGGTTAGATCATCCGGTTTTTCTAACAATGCATCTAAATGATGAATGATGAATAATAGAGAGAAACAGAGGCAATAGAGGAGAAGACAAACTTAATATAACTGGCAATGTCCACGTGTTCCGCATGTAATTTAAATCCAATCTACATCAACAATAACAATTAATAATAACAATTCAGAGATTTCCATATGCAAACTTACATTTATTAGGTAAACAAATACAAGAAGGCACAATCATTGATCCATTTAGATTTAGGACCAATTCGTTGGTTGAAAGATAATGAATTTGTGTTCTTGTTCCGCCAAAAAAGGATGAATTGGAGATTCTCAACTCTTTCTCTTTCGGCTCAATCAAAGAAAACCCTAATCTTCTTGCATAAAATAAAGTTTGCATCCAATCTACATCATCTAACTCTCTAGTATTGTCTTTAAATCTGTATATATGACTGTCATTAAGAGAAATATATGAGATAAGAGAGGTCTCATTAAGAGAAAGGGTGTGGTTTGCATAAGGTTGCAACCTTAATCAATCAAATTAAAGGTGCATCTTCACATTTTATCATAAATATATTTTGGTATAAAAAATTCTTAGGATGGCTTTAGGTTATATTTTCATCTCTAATTACAAAATTTTAAACTCTAAAAATGGTTCAAATCAAGTAGATCTACAATTACATGAAAATCTTGAAAATGAGCTGTCCAAATAATATGTTGCAAGATACATTATTTTTAGGACTCGAAATCTTTTTTTTTCTTTTCACATTTATGCATCTCAATATCAAGATGATACCTCTCTTATTTCTCTTAGGAGATAGAGAGAGGTCCTAAATGATGAAGAGAAAGAACATTATTATTTGGACTCTGAAGCCATTATTTATTGTTTTCCTCTGTATTCTTAGTATCACATTCTTTATTTATGCATGTTGCATTGGCATCTTAGCATCTTATAGAGAGAGAGAGACACCTTTTAGAAAGGAAGCCTGAAGAGAGAGATTGAGAGGTGATCTCTTTAGAGAGAGAAGTTTAAGAGAGAAAATATTTTAGTAAGAGTAAGTAGAGTAGTTTAAGAGAGAGAACAATCCCTCTAGTGAGGGTGATCTCTTTTGAGAGAGAGAAAATCATTTAGTTTAGAGTAGTTTAAGAGAGAGAACAATCCGTCCTATTGAGGGCCAGAGAGACTGTGAGAAGCTATCCCTTTAGAGAGAGAGAGAAGTTTAGGAGAGAATATTTTAGTTAGAGAAAGCATAGAAATCTAAGAGAGAAGAAATCGGATAAATGATGGAGAAAGCCCCTCTTGCTTGAGGGAACTGGTTGGGCACACACTCCACTATTCTTTGTCAACATGCAATCAACTGGTCTGATTCTGTTTTCAACGAGGGTAGAACTGTTATTTTTTTATTCTTCATTTATAGTATATGGATGTGCTTTGTATAAGGCTGAGGGTCTGCTGATTCAAAATAAGGTGCACCAATAAATAGTGCCAAAATATGTTTGAACAATGATCTAATACAACAGTTGTATCATAGTATAATGCAATTGTTCATATATATATATATATATGTGTGTGTGTGTGTGTGTGCGCGCATGCGCGCTTTGTATAAGTCTGAGGGTCTAACCGTTTAAAATAAAGTGCGCCATCAAATAGTGTCAAAATATGTTTTAGTATTAGAAATCTTTATAATGACTTGAAATATATGGAAAAGTATTCAATGAGACCATGTATCTTTAGTATAAGGTGGTCCCAATTAATTTTGACCATTAGATGTGAAATTAGGTCGCTGCATTTATTGCATTGACTAAGCTCAAAGTTCAAAGTTCAAAAAAAATAATTCTCGAACTTTGTAACATACCCAAGCTATATCAGATTTTACATCGGATAGTTGTAAGCAATTGTGACCTCCTTGTACCAAAGGTAAACGATCTCATTACATACAATCCCAAAATTTATTTCCATCTCTAATTATAGAATTTAAATATTAAAAAATAATATAGATCAAGCAAATTTATGAGCACTTGAAAATATTAAAAATTTGAAAGCCTAGATAATACATTACAATATGTACTATTTCTATGGTTCAAAATCTATTTGTTCTCATGTCCATGCACCTTGAGGTTGAGATGATCGAATTAAGAGTTTTTTAGATCAAAACAACCTCTTCTAGTGAATTTTTTAGGCGAGCCTTAATTTGATTGTTTAGGATCTCACCCTTATATAAACTTTTTTCTTGGTGTATAGTTTGGTGGGAAAATTATTGGTGAGTTGACCAACTCATGCATCTATTTTTAGTTTTCAGGGATTTAGGACTCCAAATACATCCTAGAGAAAATTACATAAATATTTTTTTTAATTTAAGTTACAAATGTTACGATAATACCTATTTTCTCCATTTTTTAATGTTTTTGGAAAATACCCTAATTTCGGACTTTGATAGTGGAAGTATTCAAAGTGACCTACCTTTAAAAAAAAATCTTTTTTATTTTTTAAATCCAAAGTAGTTTGTGTATTACAAACCTTGAATTTTGAATATCTGAACTTATTTCTGTTTGAACTTACTTGTATTATCTTTCAACAAAGTTTGAAAGTTTAAAATCCAAGGTTGTTGAGTCCTCATAAAATTTCGGATTTTGAAACCCTGAAGTTTTTTAACCTAGATGGTTCTCTTATTATTTTGAAAAGGGAATGTATACTAAAAGACCTCGTTTATTTTTTACACAAGAAAGTCCTATTTATTCCTAGCCAAGATTTTAAACTTTAGCCATGATTTGAAACCATGACACTAAGAAGGAAATACAAAGTTCGAGAAAAATCTTCTTTAGCATTGTGCAAATCAATGACACACACTTAGCCGTTTGATTTGATTTTACATGAGTGTGACCTTTTTACATCGAAAGTAAATAGTATCATCTTATACTTTCTCTTTTGAAAAAAGAAAATTGTTTCATGCCAGCTAGACCGCATGACAAAAAAGTGTAAAGCATCCATCTTAAATATGGATGCAAATAGGTTTTCTATCTAAAAACAATAGAAATTAACAGTCCAAATGTTTTTTTACTAGAACTACTATTTTTAGTTTTTAAAATTTACTTATTTCTTTATATTCATGATCTCCATGTTAAATATTACATGTCCTTAAAAATTAAGTCCAAAAATTCATCTCAAAAATAGATTTTTGAATAGGCTCGCACTTCTACATATGTGGGCTTGACTGCATAGAAACCGGGTCCTTTGAAAAATGGCTAACA